TTCCAAGCCCCCTAGTGGCTCAGTGGTAAGTCTGAAGGTTTATAATGTTAAACACCGGGTTCGATACCTGTGGTGAGTACAACACAGATAACCCATTGTGTATCTTTGAGCTTAACAACAAACACGTCTCAACTGTATGGAGAATCATGCATAATGCTTTCATTTGGCCCATCATGGTCTGCAGGCTGTTGCAAATTAATTACTTAAAAAAGATGTCTGTGGTCCAATACTTGAAACGTCTTTACTGTTAAGCACGTTTATGCACTTAAGGTTTGTTTCAAAGGAACTTATTAGATGAATATCGGGGTCGAATATCTATAAATGTGAAGCAGGGATGACAGTGCAAGAACTGACTAAACTAATTTCGATGAAAATTGGAAGAAGGAATCAGGGGGACCTTCCCCCAAATATCGAGTTAAAATGGATAAGCAGTATATCAAATGGTTCAATCTTCTTCCTAGTTCTTTACTGTCTACTTCCCACACTCTGATTACTCCAATTCAGAGAAATGCATAGCGAAGGACACGCATGCACGCCATCTCCACGTGATGCTTACGAAATAAAAGGATCTATTTAGACAAATACTAATTTAGAGCTATATGTCAAGGAGGGTATCTGACTGGGAGGAAAATGACTCTTAAGATATGACTCGTAAGATATAATTAAAAAATACATGGTGACGGTTCTAAATGAGAAGTACGTTCCTAAAAAAAGTTTCTGAAATTTTTCCTGGTTCAGTTAGACTAAGTGATAAAGAATTAGATTAAAGAAAAACTTTCGTTAGCTGACTGAATGACAAAATTAGTCATAATCAGTGTCGTGTATAATTCAATCAATATACAAGAAAAATATATTTACAATGCGTCTATTTAATGACTACTAGTATTTACAACTTTAACAATACTAGCAGAAATGCCGACTTAGGGCGGCTGTTTGTGATATTAATTATTAATCGTAGTATTCATACCTGATTATGAAAAAAAAAATTAAAATAGTGAACATTTTCTAAAAAACAAATTTCTGGGAAGTACTGCACGGGAAGGATGTTCGGATTGTGCCCTTTAATCGTACGTAACTCATTGCATAAAAATGATCCAATGTACAGAGCTCAAACTTTTCATACATTTTACTGATATAAACTGTAATGTTTTTATATATTAAAAGTGCTACTCTTTATTGAAAAAAAAAACACGTTTTTTTTAAGAACTCTAGTTTTTAGTACTACATCAAAAATTACATCAGTAAAGATATAATCAAACCCTTACGTACAATCCTAGCGAAAGTCGTGTTTTTGTTGTGAGGAGAGTACTTTTATTTAAAATTGTGTTCTGTTATAAAGAAATAGTTGTTGAGTACACCATTTTTTATTTTTCTAATTGTCTGCATCTTGAATACCCAAAGTGCGAAATTTGTTTGTAGTTCCATCCAATAGATGGCAACACATCACATAAGCATCAATCACCACTTCTGGAATTGAGATTTTGTTGCATATTAGCAAAACAGATGCCATCATTGTATATGTTATTTCAGTCACATAGATAGACGGCCACGCCATTGCTCCATTATAGTAACAAGTGGCAGTAATTTTATAAGTGCCTTCTTTAAATCATAAAGGTAAATATGATAAACTAATATTTTGGTTTTTCAAAATGAAATCTGAAAATGTGTCAAATTCGATGAAGAGGAACCCACTTTGAGACTAATAATGGTTGGAGACGGCTTGAATGGGTAATGAAGAAAAACTTTAATATAAGTTTAATATAACAACAAATGTGCAACATTTCGACAAGGTTTTGTCATCATCAGGTACCTGATATGAATATGTGTCAGTTGATATAATTGTTTTTTATCACCAAGTGGATTTTATCAGGGAAAATGTTCTCGTAATTATTAATAATCCACTGATTTCAGTGCGTTTCGGAATCATTGCAGCTATGTTACACATTTCAGATAAAATAAAAATAATAAGTCTAAAATTTGTGATAAAAATCACGTCAACTGTACGGTTGTTTTTCCATTTTAAATTCAAAATCAAGAGGCATTTCTTATCTGTTATATGTCTCCCACAAAAATCCTTTTGTTCAATAACAGAACTCATCAGTTAGGTTGAGTTATGACAAAAAATTAGATATATGGGGCGGAGTTTCTGCTAGTACTTTAAAGGTAAGCATTATAAACCAATAGGCCAAAAAATTTGTAATAAAAATCTTGTTAACTGCAGATGTTTTTTTTTTGCCCTAACGTTTCTAAACATCTAAACTAACTCTTAGGTGTCCGTTGCATAATATCGGAGTCACAAAAAATGTGCAACATCAACTTTTGAAAAAATATGGGTGATGTATTCCACAAATATTCCCCAGGAGACTATAATTTCATTAACATATGTTTTGGAAGAAACAATTTAAAAATACTAAACTTTAGCATAATTGTAGAATTTCAGCCTCCTGTTGGAATTTTATTCAGATTGTGTAAATAAATTTTCTGATAGTGCAAGGACTTGTCAATAGTCTATACAAAGATGGCGATGCTTAAAGTTACAACAATTTTCAAGCAATCATTGTTAATAGTTTCATTGAACAAATTCTCCCTCTTGCTGTAAAAGTGGGGAGCAGAGTCCCTTTTCAAAACTTGGTAAGCAATGGCCCGTTGCCCCCCCCCCCAGTGACTATGTAATAATATAAATTTAAATAAATTTTCGTGCAAGTATTCTGCATGTAGTTATGTCATTCTTATTTAATGGTTGTAAAGAAGTAGTACCCCAACTGCTTCGTCATAGAAACTTGTATTAGTTTGATCCCGTGTTGGAGTTGGGCAAACCCATCTCAAGGGGTGACAAAGATACTTGTACAAATTGCTGCGAGTTAAGAGTTCACTCCCTTGAATAACCCTTAACAGAACATACAGACATCATGGACTATTTAGTCAATCACCGTTGTACCTGCTTACCCACGCTTAAGAAAAAGATAAACACCCTATTATCAAGGACAACTTATCCCACAAAAAAAATCACCTCTTACTCTTATTTCTCAAGAGAAAATAAGTTAAGAGATCATAACCTATACCCATATAATAACCCTTCCATCTCAAAATTCTTCCCAATAACCCTCCTCTAAATCCTTTCAAATAAGTCAGTATCCTTATTAAGATGAGGAAACCAAAATGTTTACAGTATTCCAAGTGAGGCAATACTAGTCATTTGAATGGCGTTAACTTGTAATTAGTACGTCTATAAAAAATGCCCTAAAGATTTATTATTAGCAACAGAACACTGCCATAATGGCTTAAGACATTTTTCTTCAGTCTTGCTTACCATCTGTATCAAACGTATTAACTACATATGGTAATGTCCAATGCCTTATTTTGCACTTAATGTTATTAAAGGTCATTTGCCTGCTATTTGTTTAACCAACTGATCCAAGTCATTCTGTAATACCCCAATATCCTCATTACAACTAGAAATACTCAAAAGTTTAATGTCATCCATAATTTTTATGAATTACGCTCCTGTTAATATTATTAAAAGATTTGTCTATTGAATTTTGCACAATGTTACTCAACGGATATCTGCACCAACCATCCCTAACTTTAAAGTGACAGACCCAGATGGAAGTCAGCTAGTTAACACCATCCACTGTCAACTCTTGGACCACTTTAAATCGAAGTAGGATTTGACAGTTCCTCTTATAATGCACCCATAGTCCCAGAGTAATGAGCACTATTTGTTTTGTGGTAATGGTGTAAAGAAACACAGAACCTTAGATCCACAGTCCAGTACAACTAACCACTAGGTTGTGCCTGACCCAGATAACACAGCTTTCCAAGTTTCATGTCTGGTATTTCTAGATTTCTCCAGGAAATAAAACAACCATTCCATTAGGTTGTAACAGACTTATACAACATCCTGTTAGTATTTTAAATAAACTTTGACAATTTTGTTGTTTGCTAAACAGTATTCTTTATCATTTACCTAGCTTGTGTAACAATGTAAATTATAGTATCTTTTGCTGCCTATTTTTGAAATAGAATGCATACTTACGCTACCATTTTATTTTTGTCTCGAATATTGAACTTGGTTTGTCTTATACTTTATATACTTTCGACTTAACGTGAAAGTTTTTTCTTCACAGTTTTGAATTCTGCTTAGAATAAAGCAACATGTCAGTCAAAAAGTAGACCTTATTCTAATTGATAAAAAAATCATACATTATAGTTTATCTCTTTATAATCAAGCTTTTTCTTCATTTCAAAACTATATTTTTCCGAATTTAATTTTTTTTTAAACTGTAAGCTTTTACAAATGATTTAAGCAGAGTCTACATGTTGAACAAACTACTTAACTCAAAGAGACATTTGTGGAGAATTCTTGGAGGATCAATCTTCAAAAGTAGCTCGGCCTGAAAGAACGATGTTTACCAAGAACCACAAGCCAATCATGTCATGTCCACTTCAATCTTACCAGATGCCATATAAACCTCTGCAAAGATCAGAGTAAATTAATCTGCAGATGAAAGTCCTTGGAAATGTCATCCTTTCCACCGGAACTATTTTTTGTAAATTTGTCTTCCAATATTTTATTCACAAATGTCACTCTGAACTAGGCAGTTGCTGCCAATTTCAAATCTGTTCATCATATTTGATTATTATGAAAATTCATACAAAGCTAAACAAAAGTTACTTATGCTGCTATCCCTAATTTTGAAGTGATAGACTAGAGGGAAGGCAGCTACTCAACAGCATCCATCACTAGCCCTTGGACTAGCCTAATCAAATTGTGGGATTTGACCATTTCTCTAATACCACAGCTCCAAAGATCTGGCACACACAGGGAGAAACATTTTTCTAATTTGTAATATTTTCAGTTTTATAGAAGTTGTTTCAAATTACACAAGACATACTTCTAAGGTGTTATTTTGAATAACATGTTCATAAACCCTATATGAGCATACATACTCTTTCATATAACTGACTGAATGGATGTACAAAAAACACTTAATGTCCAGTTTTTTTTTAATTTTAAAAAAGACAACATATTTATTCTTCTCATAAGAGATCTGTAGTAAAGATGAGAAGGGCCACACAAATTAAAACCTAGCATATATATTTACAAACAAAACAAATTAATCATACAGTATTGTATGAAACATCTAACTTTAACACTGGTCCATGGAGAAAGATGCCACGAGTTGTCACAATTAAAACTTTGAAATGCATTGAACAAAATGAAAGTGTTGTGAAAATAAGGTGAAACACAAATTACATCTCATGTAAATGCTATTTTGTGTAACCTAAACATAAGAAATTTTACACCAGTTTTCAAAAATTAGAGCATAAAGCTGTCTAAAAATGATGAACATATATTGAAAAGTATTTCAAAAAATTTAAATGAAAATGCTAAAACTATTGAAATCTAAATTCGTATGAACAAGTCATGAATCACTGCATCACTATTTGGCTTTGCTATACTATCGTAAACAGTGCTATTAACAACATGTGAACCTCAGGAATGCATGAATACTATAAATAATGCGTAATATTTAGTAAATACACCAAACTTGAAGTACAGTGGTTTATACAAACATAATTATTCCTCAGTAATTCAGAGTTTCAAACTTTGATGTACAAAGTATCAGTACCTTGCCAAATGCTGTCTCATTATTATGCTTTAAGAATGCATTAATAGACAGATTTTTTGAGCTTCATAAATTAGCTTTTATGCTAACATCATTGATCTGAAACTTAAGGATGCGTAACAATATAAGTGAATCTTTAGAAAAGCCATTTTTACCCTTTGTAAAAATGAGAAAAAAAGTTTCATCAAAATTTTAGTTTTGATACAAGTTGGGAAAGTTAACTAAAACATGCATCTCTATCCTTTTAATTTAACGACCAAATACCAATACAAAAATCAATGACAAGTGTTTTTCTTAATTAAAATTCAGCTTAATTGTGTTTAATAATAAAATGGTAGATGAAAACACAGCAATTAATGTCAACTATTTTTCACTTTCTCCTCCTTCTTCTTCATTTTCACTGTCTGTTTCAGCTCCAGGATGCTGCGGTACTGGTTTCTCTGGTGGATCTCGAAGGTTTGTTCCGGGAGATGAAATTTCCCAAGAGCTGATGGCTACCCGTTCTCTCATAATGTTTACTTTGTGCTGGTAAAAGTCATAAACAAATGATGCCATATGAGGCATACTCTGAACAATAAGAGGGTCTCTGACTGGATAACTTCCAGCCTGTCTTGTTGAGGGGTAGTGTTCATCTTGAGAGAGATGTAACTGCAAAGGTCTCTGCATAAGAAGGTTCAGGGTTGGAGTGAGTTCAAAACAATTCTGAAAGAGAGAAACACGGGCAAAAATATATAGTCCTAGTCTCGCACGAGACATTGCAACAACGAGACGTCTGACATCACGAAGGTGGCCCACAGCTTTCGTGCGAACTAAAGAGAGAAGAATGTAATCGTTCTGCTGACCCTGGTACTTGTCCACTGTGGTTATTTTGGATGGCCTTCCAATCAGAGGGTTGTTAGCACACCGTTGGTTAACAACATCACGTATCAGGTGTTTTTGGCCATTGTATGTTGTAAGAATTGAAATTTTTTCTGAAGGATAAATCCATGCTTGTATTAGCTCTTGAATCAATATAAATATGAGGGAGTATGTCATGATCCTAGAACAGTGCAAAAAATTAGAAAATGTTTTATTCTAATTGTTTAATAGGATTTGCCATAAATGTTTTAGTATAATTGTTTAATAGGATTTGCCATAAATGTTTTATTCTAATTCTTTAATAGGATTCGCCATAAATGTTTTAGTATAACAGTAACGACTATTATATGAAAGACAAGTTTTCACACGGGTGATATTTAATATACGGCAAGTTTATGCAGTAAATATACATAAAATTGTTCTGTGTTTTTGTTTCAGAACCTTGCAGAAGCAGAGTACGTTGTAGCTGTTTTCATGTACATGCGTCTCCTTGGATATTATATTCACCACGTCAAGAGATTTTTTAATTAATATAGTGTCACAGTGTGTAAGAATTAGTTGTAGCCAAGAAAATAAAATAATACAAAATAGTTATGTTCCAGGATTCAAAAGAATATAAAATAAATACTCTACCAGTAAGTGTGATGCAATAAAAAAAAGCATTGCCATCAATTTACCTTCTAAGCTGCGTGCATGAACAGCAATTTGGCAGAAACCACACTTCAAAAAGAACAGGCTGCTCAATAATAGTTGGTAATAGCTTTATGTGGAAGACATAGGCCCACAGTTTAAACATGTCCAAACAAAAGGCAGGCATACAGATACCAACAGTCAATTAAAGAAAATGCTTTTCGGCTTTTGAAAATCACAGAAACTGCTTACAGACAGAAAATTATAGCTCAGAGGCATTTAAAGTCCACCCAGTACAAAGAAAAATTAGAGGGAACCTTAATTACCATACCTAGTGTTTGAATATGAAATATATATACAAAATAGTAAAACAGGATGAAATATCATTTAATTAAACAAGTGACATATCTCTACTAATTTTAATTGTTTTTCTTTGGTCTCAGCATGGTTTATTTAATTAAGGTCCACGGATATATTTTGTGTGGAAGCTTACGGACAAGTTTGTTGTAAGATTTTAAACCTTTAGCTTATACAAAGCATCCTTACTTTCACCTCATGTTTACACTACAATGTAGACAAAATCCTGTAACAAGTTTGTTAATGTTCTGTTTAAGTTTGATTGGAAAAAAAGTAACTTAACATACCTGGACAAAATCTTTCAGTAAAACACATGAGAATATAAAATAAAAAATCAAGCAAGTATTGTGTGGATTAAAAACCTCCCACAGTTCAAATAATTTTCCCCATTATCCTTAATCCTGCAACTGCGATTGACATCATATCATGCAAGCATTTTGCATGGCCTGCTGCAATTGAAGGGTTAATGATAATTTTTAAAATTTTTATTAAACACTTCTGTGAGATTTTTAAGATGGATATTTGAGATCACTCATTATTTATTATTCCTATATCTAGTTTAAAAAGCATTTTTAGCATTTAAAGTAGAATGTATCTTTTCATGAGCAAAGTAGTACTACCCTTATTATTTTGTTACATTTCAGTAAATGTATAAGCTACTTATAAAATAGGGAAGATGGAAAATACTCTTACATCAGTCTGCATGTACACAAGTACATTAAAGGTTATTAATACTGACTTAAAGTTTATATTTTAATATTAACGTTTGTTTTTTTTATCAGCAAGACCATAAACTGTGAAAGTAGAATAAGTGCCATTCTGTTAAAAATAACATACAGACAACAAAGGGACCATTTGTTCCTCAAAGCTGACTCTCACACACACACACTCTTGAATAAAAGTACACAACTTTGCATTCTTTTTCAGGAAAATAAGCATTTCTTCTACACTGAAAATGCATTTCCGATAGATACTTACCTCCTCTCATACGAGTGCTGCTCTCTATTGGTGCAAATTTTCAATGCCTGCCACTAATTGAGAAAAGCTATTTTTGTGAGTAGAGATAAGATATCGTATTGGAATGATAAATTCTCCTTTTAACCTCTCATAAAGTGCCAACATCCACTACTACTGCTGACAGCAACTCATTCCATAAAACAAAACTGTCTTAATTACTTTGAACCTAGTTTGTCTTTTCCAAATCTTAAGTTTGTTTCCATTTATTCTATTATCTTCAGAATATAGCAAAAATAAATCATACTATCAATCCCCCGATTAATCGTGTAAACTTAAATAAGATCACTTGTTACCCTTCTTTTCTCAAGAGTAAATAAGAAATCTTAACTTTTACCCATAAAATAACCCTTCCATCCCTGGAATTATCCTTGTAGTCTTCTCCTGATCCCTTTCCAATAATTCAATATCCTTTCTGAAGGAGATGAAAACTTTACACTGTAATACACATGAGACCTAACTATTGCTAAAAATACATCACAAAATCTCATTACTATTACCTATATAACTAGCAACAGATCACTATTTCACTGGCTCCATTAACTTATTCATCACTATGCCAACATCCTTTTCGTCAGTTATGCTATTTACTGAGTTTACTACTACTACTTGGCACAGTAACACACTTATTAGAACTTAATATTAATAGATGCACTTTTAAAATGTTATTTATTATAACTATTCTTTTGAAATTATATTGCATTGGAAATATCATGTGTAATGATCGTCATAAATCTGCATGAATTTTGGCATTCTAACCAATGTACATGAGGGTGTGACATATATCTTAGAGCAAAATAAACAGTGAGCAAAGTTTAGATTAAAAATAGGGACAATGATACAAATGATAAATGTGGTTATCCTTAAATTTTGATCAGAGAAAACTATCAACACAGACCAGAATTAAAAATAACTCAAATAGATTGGTCTAACTAAAAGTAGTAGTAGTATGCTATGTAACAAAACAACATTTACTGAGTTAAGTATCCTTGCTGTTTTTATATATACAATTTCTCAATATAATTGTTAACTCATCAATACCTAACTTTATCTCTTTGGTAGTCTAAGGTACCAGAGTTGGATGTTGGAAAAGGGGGTTTCTGTAAGCAGTTTAGACAGGGTAACACTAACAGTATAAAATGGGATAGCCTAAATGGGCCAAATGGCCCATTGTTATCCAACAGAAATATAATAACCATGGGATTAAAAAATCTAATTGTAAATTTCTCTCAAAGTTAGAAATCACAAAATATGAAAATATCCATCCAGCTTTCTCTATCTTAAGCTCCGTGGATGAATTATGAAAAAGAAAATACAAATATACAGCAGGGCTTTGGTGCTATATTACTTGCTTACAGTACACTAACACGTGTATCTTGGTTTTAAAAAGTTACTGCAGTGGTTTCTACATGGAAAGACAATAAACAATAAGAATTCTATACTTAACCTACCTGATAAAAGTATGGATTTGGCTCCGACTCTCCTATGCCATTAAAATCTCCTACATTAACTAGCTGATAATCAAAAAAGAATCCTGGATTTGCAGTTCTATACTCTGGCCAATTGGTGACATGAGGTAAATTGCCAAGGTTTTTGTAACGCCAGTTATAAAGTTCACATATGCTTGGCCTAGATCGTCCTTGGGCATCCAAATCAACTGTAGGCACTCCAAGACGCACAAACCTTGTGAACAAGGACTGTTCCATGTTGCTGTACTTCTGAAAAGCCATATTTTTTATAACTGGTGGTAACTGATGATGATCTCCAATCATGATCCAGCGTTTCAGTCGACTAAACCCATCCTCTGGGTTTTGAAGTAAGAGTGGAATAAAAGTTTCAATTTCTAATATCTGTGCAGATTCTTCCATCAGAATGTTATCGTACTTAAAACCTAATTCAACAAGCTCCCTTCTCTTAAGAGCTGCATGTGTGCAAGTCATGGCAATAATTTTTGCTTCCTTTACAAGGAGGTAGCGAGATCGATCAAGGCCACTTCTTAACAATTCAAATGCTCTAAACTCTTCCAGTTGTGTGAAAATCTTCCTAATGTAACGAAAACAACCCTCTGCTACTTCCATGTCTTCTTCAAAAGACTTTCCATGAAATAATGGCTGTGGAGCGTCATCAAAAAACTTTGTGAAAGGAAAGAGTGTTGGAATTTCTTCTTTTGGTGCCTTTACACCTTTTCCTGGTTTCACCTTACTTAGGAATTCTTCCCAACGTGCTAAAACTTGATAAAGATAAAAATGGCCTGCCGTTTCACAGGTATATGAGACGTCCCCGGTGACACCAAGACTGTCTTGTAATCGACTGACATCCTTAAGAAGGTCTAATCGTTTTGCCAGAACAAAGTTAACTCTTCCATACCTACTAAAATCCTTCTCAGTTTCCAATGCTTCTTCTCCGTGACCCAAGCGAAGAAGGTGTCTTTCATCAATGTCAAGAGCTATAATCTTTTCAAAAAGCTGATTCAAAGCTTGGTTAGAATGAGTGACAATCAAGGTTCTTTGTTCTGGGAAATTGTGATACAAGTTAGAAATTATCTGAACAGCAACATCAGTTTTACCTGTACCTGGAGGACCAACAACCATGGTTAACCCAGGCTGCATTCCAGACCTTATTGCCTCAACTTGAGTTGGGGTAAACCTTACAAGATTTTTTTTAGGTTGTTCAAATGGGTAAGGACCACGACTTGGAAGAACATAAGGAATTACTGTTATAGTCATCATGTCAGTCTTTACATTATCACTTTCATGTTCTCGTTTATTGTTTTTCTCAACTTCAGAAAACCTGATTTTGAATGGAGGAACAAGCTTTCTGGGATCATCACAATCCACTTGAATGTTATTTTGAGGAAAGCTCTCCCGAAGATGATCCATATCCAGAAAAGTATCATTGAAATCTAAAATCGAGAGTTCATTTTTCATTTTGGAATAGTGAGCTGCTCCTGGATCACCGTATCCTAGTATAATATCATGAAGCCAATCCGGAACAACACACTCTGTGTTCATTAAGTCTCTAATAGTTTCCAGGACGGCTTTGAAATTATTCTCTTTAGGTTTTCTTCTCATGATTATGTTAAAATTTTCATAAATATCTTCACTGTTTTGACCACTTTGGTCCATATCTAGTCTATACTGATTACAGTCCAACCACACGCGAAAAGTACGAGTATCACCAGGAAGATCAGGCTTCGGTTCTGGTCCTTCCTCTATTACACGACCACTCTGATCTAGCATACCTTCTATTTCACAGCCTCTAACATGCGTAAGTCCAACTTGAGGTATAAATGGCTCTCTATAATTATAATGAGTACCAGGAAGACAATTTGGCTTGACAGTTACTAGAAAACATACATCATGCTTTCGAAGGGCTTCCCATTCTGCTTTGATTTCTTTTCTTAAGTTAAGATTTACAGTTACATCTGCTCTTACACGGGAAGGTTGTTTTTCTCCAATGTTAGGTTTCCCAACCTCTACAACAGCAAAGTTTACAATTGGTTGAGCCATTCTTGCCCAACCTCCAAATATGGAACTTCCATCTTCTGATTTCCAAGGATTTAATCTACTGATGCTATCTTCAATATCTTGACGAATTTCATACGTTGACTCAAGCCTAAAAAGATGAAAATTTCGCAACAAGTAGTCATGAAGTGTCAGAAACTGCAGATTAAGTTTCGGCAATGCTAAACATCCTTCACCAGAGAAGTATTCTGATGGCACAATATTTTCATCCCAAATAATAGATTCTGTAGGATATAAAGGCATTTCATTTAATGCTTCCAGTTGAGAAGATCGTCTTTCATGCCGTGAAATTAATAACTCCAAAAGGAAGTCTTTATCAGCTTTGTTTTGTTTTTCAGAAGTTAGCAGTGGTAACAATTTAAGAAAAGCTGCAATCTCATGAAGCTTCTCACTTTCTAACGGTTCAAAATGCTTTTTCAATGAATTTCTTGTATCTACACTTGCAACAGTAGATAATGAAAATCGCAGTAATTCTGGAAAGTTTTTAAATGCTGCTTTTTGCAAAGCAGTAATTAGATCATAGTGACTTTGCATCATGTCATGATCTGTAAGAGCTTCACCAGTTTGATCATTGATTTCAAATCTAGAGTAAAACTTCAGCATTTCTAAAAGCTGGCTAAACAATCTTCCTTCCTCTCTCTGAACAAGATTGGAGAGTTTAGATTTGACAACTAGATGGCAGTCATCCATCACTGTATTAAAAAACCGTCGTGTTGGCATTAAAGCTTCCAAGTCTACCATGAGTTCTAAAAACCTTTCACAGAAGTGAACTTTCACTAGGGTGGCTTTGTCTAGTTTTGGATTTTTTTCTTTTGTTGGGATTGAATCAAGATAGTCAAAATATTTATTGATAAGCTTTGCCAAAAATGATCTTTCATAATTAACTTTTTGATAAGACTTTTCATCAAGTTTACTATCATTTTTCTTTATATATTCCAAAACTTTTTTAACTTAGGTAGAGCTTTGAATTCATGCTCTCTTCTTTCTGGAAGAAGATTGATCCAAATAGGTAGCGAAACAAGTCTTTGTATTTGTTCTCGAATCAAATCAACTTCAACACTGTTAAAACAATGAATAAAAAATACTAGTAATGCAGTCTGTTCTTTTAGAAGTACTTTGTCATCTTCATCTAATATTTTTTCCATAACTTGACAAAAAAATGCTGGAAAATGTACAGGCTGCTTCTTGAATGTCAACCATGCTGGCACTCTTTCTCTAAATTTTTCATTCACCATAATTACAATCGACATGATGTGGGCATGAGATGCTTTTTTTGGGTGATAGTTAGGCCATAAATAATTCTCAAGATATTGGCTAAACTCCAGTAGCATTATTCGGCGTATGGCGAATCCCGAACCTAAAATTTCGTTAACGTATATTTTTTCAATTACCTTTGAATCAAATTCTAGCCAAGGATCTGTGCTGTGCGGAGCCCAGTACTGATTTGCTAGTTGTGTTACCACATCTGCATTTATTTGTTCCACAGTCGGAGACATTCCTACCGCTTTGGTTTTACTAATTTTCAGTGATTTACTCATTTTTTTTCAATGTCTGTCTACTTTCTGTCATCTAACTCTAATCAAAAACGTAGAAATGACAAATATAAGATATTTTTCTTAAATTCTACAAAACTTCAAAAGTAATCACGTTGTGCGAACACTTAGTTGATGCTTACATGTTGTCGCCATTTTTCGTCTTGTAGTTACGTGATATACCGGAAACGGAAATATTATTTTGGGGGCGCCGCGATCAACGAAAATTGAAGGAAAGTAGTGTTAAATCTTTTTTCATTGAGAAGTTTAAGCGGTGATTGTATGAATAGCTTCTATTCGAGTTTAAAAGTTATGGGTTTGTTTTGTTTTGTAAGATGTATCATTGGGCCAAGATTATTCCGAATTAACGCCGTTGACGGCAAAGAGGTACAAGCTAATACATAATAAGATTAAGAGTTGTAACTTCACTATTCAGTGTTTCATCATTGAAGTAGCTTCTATCGTATTTTCAAAAATTAAAAAAAAAGCTGACTTTACTTTCTTAAGCCTAACTATGTATTGTATTTCCTTGTTATGATTGTTTTATTTACTGAATAATGAATTAATAAATATTGATAGTTGAAATGATTATATATATATAATGAGTGAGAAAAGAAGCAACTGAAATTTAGAATTCTTAGAAATATATTTTTTTAAAATATGTCATTTCTAAGCTTTTTTAATATTTTTTCAATTTAAGAAAACGTTTCTATGTATAAACCAAGACTTAAAAAAGGCAACATGATAAGATACTGATGTAAAAGTTAACGATTTCCTATTATAAGATACGTTACTCTTATTCTTTTGATTTTACTCTGTATTGAAAATCTCTTTAGAACGAAAATATGATTGGACTCTGAAACAATTTCTAGCATTGTTTTTGAATTTGTTTCATTTTGTATTTCGCCTGTACTAGTTTTAAGTAACTTTTAATTTAAAAGTAGTTGATAAATATTTAAAGGATTAGTTGTTTCTATGAAAAATACCACACTTGGCAATGCCTGAACAGTAAAGTGTTTAATGCACTGGGTGAGTCCAGCATAAAGCATAGCAAGCATATGCCCCCACCTCACAAAAAAAAATTTGTCTCTATAGTTGCTTTCCATGATTTATTGAACTTAATGCAGGCCCCTTGAGGTTATGATCCCCCTTCCAAAAAATTCTTGACCTGACATTATAATGATCTTTGGATATAAAGGATACTTGTACTGATGTGTCATGATGGATCCTGATGAGTAGTTTTGATTAATTTACTTTTACTAGTTTTGGGATGACTTTTTTAACTGCTGGCGCATATCTTCATAATAATGGATATTCTCAGGATGATCATATAAAATCATCACTTTCATGTGATTTATATCGTAAAGCTGTAATTAATTGCTTGCTTGAGAGGATTTACAATTTCTGAATATGAAGTATTAAATATGTTAGTTTTGAGATTATGTGTATTAAACTGGTAGTTTTTGTTTTTTTAAGATACTGTTTTGTAGCAATGATCAAAATACTTTCCTCCCTGACCAAAGCAGTATTCCATTTTTTGTTTTTAGTTGTAGGTTTGACAGTTATAAAAAGTTTATTTTAAATGTATTTGGCCAATATCCTTAATAAAATACACAGAATTAACTTGGATAATAATCTTAGTTTGGTTACGTACCACTGAGAAAAGGTATCTGTGAGGAAACAGTGTGTGTGTGATAATTTGATTTTAACTCGTGTGACATATGCTTAGTAATTATTATCTATCTTTCTTTCTTTCTTATTTTTTTTAATACAGGGAAGAATTTATGATCCAAACATCTTAGAAGCATGGAGTGATTATATTATTAAATCAGTAAGTGTTGTTCTTTTATAGATGTTTAAGAAATTACTACATTTGTTTTTGTTCTGGTGGTTCATAAAGAATCTCAAGAAGCCAACTTTCCTACTGATGTCCATGCACTCGTTATGATCTTAAAACGTTCTTCAGCAAAGATACACGTACATTATTCAGACTTAGATACTTATTCTTCGATGTTGTATAAATTACTGTGATAATATAAAATGCAAGTTCTAATTATTTTAATGACGTCTGGACAGCCTGATATGTTTTTGAATAATTTTTATGGTGTATTCAACTCAAAATTTATTAGGTATTACTGTTACTCTTGCATTTTAGCAATGTTTAGAATTGTTTATTTGAGAACAATGCATTAAATAACATAAAATTAATTTCTGGTTCTAGAAAGCAAACAATTCCCATTAAACTCTTCTTTTTAAATGTTATAAAGTATGTTAAATATATTACTAAGTTACTATACAGCCCTAATTAGATTTATTTGTTTGTTATGCTAAATCAAGATCAACGGACCAATGAAAATTTCACTTTAATTATGCTGTATTGGACAGAAAGGGTCAGAATGCTTGAGTTTTCTGCTAATTCCATGTCCCGTAGTGTGTTATTTCTGAAATATCAAACCATTGCCTAACGATCAAAGATGTTGCAAGGATATATAGTAGGTATACATAAGACTCACGTTTCAATACTATATCATATGTTTGCAAAAACAGTTAAACTCCAATCTTCATACAGGACACAAGGCTTCAATATATTAGCTATCACACATTGTGACAAGAATCTTTACTGGTCTTATCACATGAAATATATTATTTTTAATGAGGTATGAGCCTATATAGTTTTGATAGAGTAGTCTTGTGAAAATTTGTAAGGGGAACCCACAGAATGGTATTAATCATATTTTCAGTTTGTTACAGGTTTTGTACTGAATTGCATATATGATACATTTACGTATACAACAGTTAAGGATTAGGGAAGTAACATAATGCTAAGTTTTTGTTGCTGAAAGATACGTACCATATTGAATGAAGATTAATTTGAAAATGTATGTCTTTTAAAATCTCCCAAAATAAGCTGAAAATAGAAAGATTACTTTCATATGTGATTAGTTGAATGTAATCAATTAAAGAACCTGAAGATTAACCTACTGACTGCTGATTTGTGGTATAGGGTACAGTCTGCCTCTAACATTTGAATGCAATTGTGCTGTATACGGTGTACAGCTAGTACACTTAATATTTAGAGCAGCTGCAGGTAATGGGTTAACTCTCTATATATAGGCTCTGCCATTTTGACCAATCTTGTAACCACTATGCAACAATTAAACTATAGGTGCTATAACTCTGAATATACTAAGAGTATTTTCACAAAATTTAACAAGTGTTTATTAAACGTGACAAGTCTGTTGGACATAAAATATCCAAATCTTTAAAAAAAGTATTTTTTTACTAAAGATTTTTCTCAGAATTTTCAAAGCCTTTAATGGTTCATTCTGAGAAAAAGTTGATTTTCACCTAATGGTTTTATATTTCACAACTTCTAGGACCTTCTTAATCAATATCAAAAGTTTTTTCTGTCAAATTTTAAACATTTATCTATTATTTTCACTACCCTAGCACTGACAGTAGTGAAAACATATGTAGCAAACGTTTAAAAATATATGAAATAAAATCTTTTTTTTTGTCTCCTTTATCTTTAAATTGTAACAGATAATTATAATTCTTTATTCTAACCAGCTTCAGTCTCCTAACAATTTCACATTTCCTTTCATTTAATTTTATTGTTTTATTTATCTTTGAACCAACAAAACAATAAATCACCAGCAAGAACTTGGGATAAACAAACTTTTGAGTTACATCATGTGATGTCAACCTATATGCAATCTTGTTTTTGTATGTAATTGTTTAATTATTTTTATTATTTAACCTAATAAGTTTTAATTTTTACATTTTAGTCACATTTGTTAAATATATTACAGTAACTAAGTAATATGCATAAAACAAGGAACTTTAGCCTTGAGACCATTTGCACTTGGGTGCATAGTTAAGTAAGCTTATTTTTTTACTATGTTGTTTGTCCAAAAAATAATTTTTGTAGCTTTCAAATACACATTTTAAAACAAAAAATGTATCAACCACCAGAATAGAATATTCCAAAGTTACTATACTTTACCTGGCTTTTTGAAAAAATTCAGTTACTGTTCAGGGCAATATATTTAGTCTAAACACATCAATCTCTCTCAGCAAAGTAACAACTTTGACCACTAAAACACAACAGACAATTGATTTATATAACTTAGGATATGTTCTTTTTATTGGTTATAAACATGTCTAATAGCAGTGTCACAGAGAATTATAGACATTTCTTCAAAGCTGGAGATTATTGGAGGGGTGTGTCAGTGTCGATTGAACAAGTACGGTGGTATGTTAGTAAGACAACAAGATTTTGGCTTGTAAGTATATAGAGTATGTGTACCTAATTGGTTGAACAATCTGAAGCCCTTATAGCAGAATGAAAATTTATTTATATATTTCATTTGAGATTAAGAAATTGAAGCTATGTTTTGATAACAAGTTTATTAACATGCATTGATAATAAAATAAATTCATTAAGTTTTGGACGTCAATCTCTGCAAAATTTCTGACATATGCACTTTGACCCATCCGCATCCATAGGGTTCAAGTAATTGCTCAGTACTAGTTAGAAGTGCTTAAGCTCAAACATACTGTTGGTGTGAACATGCTTTGTAGTCACTATGAGAAAAACCTGAATACTGGATAGGTGAAATGAAAAAAAAGTCATTGGCCACTAATCAGTTCTTCACATTATATAGCCGCACAATAGCAGATACGATAAATAAACTTAGCATTCCAAAAATTGTTTAATCTTGAAGTCTTAAGTATAGGTCAACTTGCATGATGTCAGGCACACTTAAAACCTGCCATGTGCAAATGTAAAAATTTCTGGAACAGCCAGCAAGGTTTTGAGTCAGTCGAAATTGGAACTGACAGAATGATGAAGGGTCAAAAGACACATTCCAGTTGTTTGTTTTTTTGTTAGTAATCCTAGTAGGCCTAATGATTCGAGAACTAATGTTGATCTGTCTGATAATCATTTTTGGTAATAATGTGCTTTTGAGAAGTTCACTCATTTCAGTGTTATGTATGTAGACTTACATTTTTTATATTTTGTGTTTAATATCAAAAATTGAAAAAATTCTAACAAAAAAATGTGTTCTTTAATTTCTTTTAGTTAACACTGGCATGGGGCCTAGGGGTTTACTCCTCACCTGCTATAGCAGCTATTCTGTATAGAAAAGGTAATGTTTGTGACAAATGCCATTCTTTCTTCCTGCTACTTGTGTCCTAAGGAATGATGTGATAATAAATTATGTGTGCATGTTTTGTCTTAATGTTGAAAACCTCATAAATACATTAAGTTTTTGCTGAGTTACCTTATGCTAGTTTCAGCATTGTGAATCATCAGATTTAGGTGTTATTCTTGGCCATAGATAACTCAGTCATTAAAAGAAAAATAAACAGAGAATCGATAAATTGATGATTCTCTGATCTTTGTTTACACAAAAATTTATATTCACATCACACAACTGATACCAGATGCCTACATGATAAGCCATATGCAGATTTAGATTGGGTATACCCCCAACCCTCCATTTCCTGACCTGTTGATCATTTCGTCACGTCAGGTTTTATGTATGTGGATGAGCCTGATTCTTTACAGTAGGTGTCTGTGACTTGTTGATAAATTTCCACAATAAACAGACAGCTTATTTTTAAATAATATATTAAAACAAGTCAAACATATATGCAAATGTTTGTTACACTATTGGTTAACATAGTTATATCCTGAGCTTTAAAATTGTTTCCTTCTTTGTCAAAGTCCACACACACAGGCTGGTTCAGTTACTTTAGAACACAATTTGATAAGACAAATTATTCTTCCTCCTCTATTATTATAATATAGTCTGTGATAATTTCACTTTAAAATCACCACTATAACTGTTGGTTACCACAATTGTATCCAGAGCTTTAAATTATTATCTCTTTGTCATCAAAGTCCACACAAGCTGGTTCAATTACTTTAGAACACAATTGACAAGATGCATTATTCTTCCCTACTATGTTATTACAATACAATCTGTGATAATTTCACTTTAAAAATTGCCATTATATGATCATTATGGCTAAACTCCCTATCACACAGTCTAGATCTATCTGTCGAACTACATTTTTGACGAGTATTTATACCCAGTGGATATCTAGAATATTCTACACACTACTAGATATTATGATACAATAATACTCAATTAAAACAATGGAAAAAACTCAGAAGGTTCTACTAACATGATGCAATAATATAACAACCTCCAATTCATAACAAGTGAACTACACAATGTATGAATCGTAAACTGTTACATAAACAAACCTATGATAAATGATTGCTTCAGAAAATTACTAAATTTAACACTTTAACTTAAACACAAATAGTCGTGTATATCTAACACTCCAGCTACACCTGCCACATGTAACGCTGAAACGAAATATGCAAAAACCGTTTTCACTGCTAAACAGTTACCAGCCTTTTGATCCAGCAGAAGATCCTTACTTAACCTTAAAAGCATTTGCCCCTGATTAAACATTATTAACATTTGGCAAATTGCAGTTCTACTATTTAACTTCTGTAGTCCATTCTCAAGTAAATAAATGACTTTTAATTTAACCAGTAGCACTTTACCAGAGTGTTAGAGTGAACACATAATTTGATTTTTCTTCTGTTCCAAATATGGCAACATTTGGGTTAAAATTAACATACGAACAAACTTCCATTTATGGCTCTTATCAGTTTTTCAGACTTCAAGGTTTTAAAGTTAAATTTGCATATAATATTATACAGCATATATTTGAACATAATTTTGTCTTTCTTCTAACAGAACTAAATAATTTGTAAATTATTGTTTGCTAGGTGAAGACTCATTATTAGACTATTGAAAAATAAGAATGAAAATTTGGCTTTGTTCTTCTTACCTTACTCCATGTTTATTTCTGATGTTTCAAGAATATACTGTAAGACAATTTTCTCTCTTCTTATTTTCACTGTAGGATATTTTACAGTAGATGGAATATCAAGCTTAGGTCGACTTGTTTCCTTAGTTGGAGTCACTCTTCTGGGAACTATATTCTTTAGAGGTGAGATGTTTGGTAGCTAAAAGACAATCTTATTTTACAGAAAAAAGTTTATACTATAAGACACAACAGTGAAGTGTACCAAACATGTTTATCAACCAAAAACTAAGTTTTTAGATTTGTCATAGAGACATTCAAATTAAATGCTCCTCTGTATAACATGTAGCCAGGTCTAAAATATTGTATTTTTTTGGGATTGTTTTGTTGTTTAACATCATGAAGTACTTTCAAGAACTTAAAACAAATCAAGTCTCAAACCCATGATGTAAGAATAGGGGTGTATGGTAAGTTATATAATGCAGGATAAAAAATAATATTATTGATTAATTTAACATTCACATACTTCAAATGTTTTTTTAGCTTCACAGTGTAATACTGATAAACCAAAGTTAAAAGAATGAGTTAGTTTGATTGATTAAATACATTGAAATTACCTGTTTTACATTTGAAAAATTAAGTAGGCTTATTGTACTTTTTAAAGTAATTTCATGATATGTTTAGAATTATAAAGTTAGATAAGATAGAAAAACTAAAAATAGGTTTTGATTTGTCTTAATCACTCCTTGGGCAGTATTTTTTAGTTGAATGGTGTGTAGAAAAGTTTTATAGAACATGTGAACATTTTGCTAGTATTTTAATAGATTTATAGTTACTCTTTAAGGATAAAAAACTTGTCTGTATATATATATATATATATATATATATATATATATATATCTGCATATTTTAATATTTGTTTTGTGTTGTGAGGTATTTGACAAAGGATTGTTTTTTAGGTTTAGGAAGATACATGAACTATGATTATGTCACTTTTTTGAATGTATTGGAATCAGAAAAGAGCAACATTAACAAAGTAATAAAGGTATGTTCATTTATTTTTGGAATTTGGGGAGTTTTAAATTGTGTTTAATTAAAGTAACTAAAAAAATTTTTTATTGTTTTTTTTAAGTTACAGTGGTAGAAATATTAAGAACAATTTTTTTTTTGTACTTATATAATTTAAATTGATATTTTGAATGTTGTAATAAGCATCTCGTTTGATATGTTAG